GAGGCTGCAGACCTTTGAGTTCTCAGTGCAAAATATAAGGCACTCCATACCCTGGTTCCTGGAACAGAAACCAGTGGTTCTCAGGGCCAGGTGGCTGCGGTGCGGCCATCCTGAAAGAAGAATTCAGGCCCTGGCCGATGTGGCTCAGTTGGTTGAAACTTCATCTTGTACATCAAAAGGTTGTGGTTCCAATTCCTGGTCAGGGCACATACCTAGGTTGAAGGTTTGATCCCCAGTTGGTGTGCATGCGGAAGGCAACCAATTGATATCCTCTCTCACGTTGATCTTTCTCTTTCTCTCCCTCTCCTTCTTCCCTTCTTTCTAAAATCAATAAGCACATCCTCAGGTGAGGATTTAAAAATAAAAAAAGAAGAGTTCAGGAGCAGGGATAGTTACATGAGACACTGAATATATGGGAGGTTGAGAATTTATTGCACAAACTCATTTAAGAGAAATAGGAATGTTAAAAAGGAAAAAAGTCATCAATAACCAGTCTACAAAATTCAGCCCTTTAAATTTTTCTACTTTTTTTTTAAAGCTTTGTATAAGTACTGAAGCTCTTTAAGTGGCTGTAATCCTATAGTAGATGGTTTGGTATACTGCTGTTTTTAGAATAATCATATCCTAAATGTTTCTCATGGTGCTTCAGTCTTAATGGTGTGTGATAATGCACTGAGTACTTATGATAGATAATTTTCTTTTTTTTTTCTTTCTTTTTAAAAAAAATATATATTTTATTGATTTTTTACAGAGAGGAAGGGAGAGAGATAGAGAGTTAGAAACATTGATGAGAGAGAAACATCGATCAGCCGCCTCCTGCACATCTCCTACTGGGGATGTGCCCGCAACCCAGGTACATGCCCTTGACTGGCATCAAACCTGGGACCTTTCAGTCCACAGGCCGACGCTCTATCCACTGAGCCAAACCGGTTTTGGCGATAATTTTCTTACCTATTCCTCTGTTTTGGACATTTTGGGTTGTTTCTAGGATATTTATATATAAATTATTCAGTGAAGTGTTTTGATGAAGATCCTTTTCATAAGAGAAATTTTTTAAAAATATTTTATTGATTTTTTACAGAGAGGAAGGGAGAGAGATAGAGAGCTAGAAACATCGATGAGAGAGAAACATCGATCAGCCACCTCCTGCACATCTCCTACTGCGGATGTGCCCGCAACCCAGGTACATGCCCTTGACTGGCATCGAACCTGGGACCTTTCAGTCCGCAGGCCGACGCTCTATCCACTGAGCCAAACCGGTTTCGGCGAAATTTTTTTTTT